GAGAGAGAGAGAGAGAGAGAGAGAGAGAGAGAGAGAGAGAGAGAGAGAGAGAGAGAGAGAGAGAGAGAAGATGGTTTGTCGAACACTGATACTACAAAATACAGATCCTTCAGGTCCGGAAAGCAAACCTGCAATGTGCCATGATCGCTATGTGGAATCAAAAAGAGTGAATGTAGAATCAACACAGATCTGCAGTTGTCGACACCGATCTGAAATACGCATGAGGAACCGAGGGCTTTCATAAAAAATACGCGATGTAGAATCATCAACTTTAATCAAGAGTATTGGTTGCGTTCACAAACACGGGTGCTCACAAACTTTTCTTTCTGTGTGTGCACAGGACAACCCTGAACATTGCGATGTGGAATCGAGAGTGAATGCGGTATCTTCACTCATTGCAGTGTGTGAGACTCTCGGCATACGCGAGGAGAAGCATGTTGATCGAAATGGAAATGGAGATGGAGATGGAGATGGAGATGGAGAAGGAGATGGAGATGGAGATGGCACTGTTGCCACATGTGAAGAGAATGGTGGAGAAGACAGTGTGTGTGGAGTGAATGGAGATGGAGTGGGAAGAAGAAGGAACAGTGAGAAGAAGGATCATGACGAAGGCCACTTACCAGTGGGGATTGTGGGAAGACGTGTGGTGGACTGTTTGCTGGCTTCTCTCGATGATTACGCGATCGACAAGAGGGGCGACGTCGGTTCATGGGTGAGAAAGGCCGCCATGAACGCCTTAGAGAGGTGCGCCTGGCTTCTCAGCAAGTTCCTAGAAAAAGACGAAAAAAGAAAAGGTGGCGATGCGGAGAAGGAAGGGTATCGGGAGAAGCGGGTAAGATCTGAATTTGCAAGCGATCTTGCTTTGCGAGTTATGGGTGGCGTAATGAAGCAAGCTGTAGAGAAGATCGATAGTGTGCGAGATGTCGCCGGGAGGATGTTGCACAGACTTGTGCACACGCGACAACTGGCAGTGCTGAATTGGCCACGGCACCGAGAGCTGCAGGCCATCATCCCATCCAACCAGGCCATTAACTGGAAGGTGAGGCTTGTTATTATCTGTTTATTTGACTTTTTTTTTTTTTTCAATTGAACTTGAAAAGTTCAAAACTCATCACATTATTACTGTTGTTATAATTTATAAACTTTTTTTTTTTTTTTTTTAAGTTCATTGCAATACCCTGCTCTATATGAAAACTCATCACATTATTACTGTTGTTATAATTTATAAACCGTTTTTTAACTTCTTTTTTTTTTTTTTTTTATTAAGTTCATTGCAATACCCTGCTCAATATGCCCTGAAGTGGACCTAGGGCCACACACAAGATACGACCCCAGTCTGAGGCCGCAAAGGCCAAGGGGAGGAAACCCCCCCAAATTGGCCCAGGGCTTGTGCGCCCGACAGTTGACTTCACTCAACTGCCCAGCGGCCCAAGAGTCAAAGTCTGCATGCACCCAGCCCAGACCGCCGGTCAGACACATACACTTGTTGTATGCAGGTACCAAGACAGCATTCGGACCAAGTGGAAGTCTGCAACTGTATGCAATCCAGGCTCTTGGCTGTGAGTCAATCTGAGCCACCGTGGGTGGGAGACTTGAGGCCGGTCAGTCTCGTCAAACATTGCATAAGGCCTGGCCTCCAGGGATTCAACAGTCAGTCTTGCTATGCTGCCTTGACGCTGGCTTGACGCTAGCTGGACGCTGGCTTGACGCTGGCTGTATGCTGGCACTGTGGACAACGACGCGAGACTGCTGCTGCACGCTGGCGCCAGCTCCTGCTGACGTGGTGCAAGTCCACGCTGTCTTCAACATTTCGGATGCGGCGCATCCCACTCTGTCTCCGTTGCTGACGTCGCATTTGCCACATTGCTGTTGATGTCAGGATCTGTGGATGATTGAGAGGGAACGGGATACTTACCTGCGGTTGATGTCTATACTGTGCGCTGCTGATTGCCTCCAACGTCTTCACGAGGGAATGGTGCCACGTGGCACTTCGATGTGATCAGGATCTGTCAGGCTCGTTACTGGATACTGTTTTGCTGACGTGGAGGCGAGGGGAAGCCCGGAGATGGAGTGGCAAATGTTGGGCTACTCTCTTTGTGGTCATTGATAGTTACTTCCTCTTCCACCTTCTAATCTGTCTATTCCCCCTCCCCTCTCTTCGTCTACTGGAAACGAGACATTGTATCAGAGGTCACATTCATGATTATTGGGGACATTGATCAAAGTTGAGTTACTTTGTATTTCGACATCTGGCGAGTATCTTACAGTCTGGGTTCATAATACAATATGAACGGATATCACCTACAGTCTTCCCCCGAACAAAACGCGCATGCATTGTATATGGTATTCACTCGGGCGTTATGCTACTACGGATATTGGGCACCAACTTTGGAAAACGGTCCCCCCCCAAAAAATCAACTATACCTGGGACCACCTTTGAAGGGGACTCAGGGGGTGCGCTTGAAAACTGGCGTGCCACAGCAGGCGGGCACGCGCGCCATTGTGTGTGTGTGTGTGTGTGTGTGTGTGTGTGTGTGTGTGTGTGTGTGTGTGTGTGTGTNGAGAGAGAGAGAGAGAGAGAGAGAGAGAGGGCAGAGCACTGCAGGGCGTGCACTTTTGAAAACGAGCGTGGCATTTCATTTTCTTGGACTCCGATTGTGGTCAGATACCGGAAGAGACGGGGGAGGTAACGAGCGAAGGAGTCGTCAGCAACAAAGACGAAGGAAAGCACGGCAAGGGACTTACCTGGTGGTATGTTCTATTTGAATAGAACACCCTTCTGTTTGAATATAGAACATACGTGCGCACTATTCGAAATAGAACATATGTGTGTACTATTCGAATAGAACATACGTGCGTACTAATTGGATTCCGGGGCCGACTTCGAGAAATCGACTTTTCCAGAGAAAGGTGAGTAGTACAGACGTGCGTTATGTTCAGGGAAAGACTGTAGGCTACCAGAGTGGCCCAAGACCACCCGTCCCACGGGGCCAAAAAAAGAGAAGGAAAAAAAAAAAAGATTTCTCGGCATTTTGGCTAAGATCAAGTGTAGTATCTGTTCTGATCAGTTTAATATCTGATCCGTGGTCCATCGGACCACACGATATTAAATTAATTTTTCTGGGCTAAAAAAAAAATAAAAAAAAATTGTTCAGTTTATTTTTCTGCGTAGCATGTTTTTCTGTTCAGATTTTATAAAGTTTTTGCTTTCTGATTTCTTTTTTGGGGGCAGGGACCTTGCCGGGCCCCCTTGCCCCTGTAGGCGGCTCGGTTGGCAGCCCTTTATTACTATTTTTATTTTTTTTTGTAAAGGTTAGTGGGTATGTATCACTTACAACTTCGTTGAACAGAAAATAGTTAAAAATACTAGAAATTAGATTATTTTCAAAAAAAAAACAGAAAACAGGAAATTAGATTATTATCTAGGCTACCAGAGTGGCCCGGGGTCACTTGCCCGGCCGGGCCAAAAAAAAAAAAAAGAAAAAAAAAAAAAAGTGTTTAGAATTTTATTTTTTATTCTAAATTTGGTGAAGAATTCTGATATGACCCTGAAGCAAAAGTTGTTCACTTTATTTTTTCTGCATAACATAGTTGTTTTTCGTTTTTTTTTCGGTTTTTTTTTTTTTTTTTTTTTTTTTTTTTTTGCTGGGACCTTCCCTGGTCCTCCTTGCACGGGCTGGCCACCGAGGACCCGGGCGGCCCGGCTGGTAGCCTAGATTATTATCTGCATTGCCAACCGGGCCGCCCTGGTCACAATAGTGTGAGTATACTACTATACTCTTAATAGTGTTATGGTATGAGGACATTGAGGAGTAGATACCAGGGACAAGTGGTCCCAGCGTTATTTACCAAAATGTGAAACGATTGCATTGCTGATGTGCTGATGTGGTGACGTGTTTGTGACACTTTGTGTATATTACTATATTTGTATGGGGTTTCCAGGAAGCAAGCTAATCAATGAATAGTTTCCTATTTTGGTAAAGGTCTTGCGCTTTCCGGAATATATGTTGATGGCGCTAATCCGTTTTTGTATATTGTGTATGGTCTTCCCAGGCAGCAAGCCAGTCTTTTCCTATTTTGGTAAAGATCTTGGCCTTCCCAGAATATCGGCCATTCATTGTATCTGGGCTGGTGATATCTGTCGGCGGATTAGGAAACTCGCTCGGTCAGTCATCGTCTTCGTCGTTGTCGTCATTTCTGCTCGATCACATGACATCTGAAGACGCTCGAAGCCTCGCGTTCGTGAGGGACTTTGCGAACGAGTTTATCGTGTTGATGAGGACTAATCTCCATTCGGATCGCGTAATTATTCCAACAATGAAGGTGGGGAAAGGGGGGGGGGATTCACCTTTTGCATCCTTGACCTCTTCCGGTGTCTTTTTTTTTTTTTTTTTTTTTTTTTTTCCTACTTTGAAGTTTGAATGCATGACTTGTTTATAAATAGAGGTTTTTCTTTTTTTCTTTTTTTCCCACTTTGAAGTCATGCCTGGCTTGTCTATCGCTCAGCCACCAGCCAGGCACTGTATTCCTTGTGAAGTTGTGAATCCTTACGTTTCGTTTTTTTGTTTTTCCCCGCCAGTCGATTTGAAAGTTTGAAATCAATTAGTGATCTGTTCGTCAACGGTTTGCAGCACATTTTTTTTGTGGCTGTTTGAAAGAGAAAATAAAATTTTAAGAGGAGAAAACTTCAAAAAGGGTTGTATGTTACGATCTCTGGCCAATATTGTAGTGCAAAATCACGAGAAAGTACAATGCCGGCCAATTGCAAAAAGAAAGGAATCAACTTGAGAGGAGAGAGAGGGAAAGAAGAAGAAGAGAAGAAGAAGAAGAAGAAGAAGAAGAAGATGTACGCCAGCAAAGACCAATGACAATTCCCTTCTCCCGGCCAACAAAACTTCTCCTCGTTTTCTCCTCCCCTCTTATTCAAACAATAATTAATAATAATAATAATGATGAATGGCAGAATTAGAATCAATGTCCGAATGCCTCTTCTTCTGCCAGCACAACTTGAGGTCCACCATAGCCATGGCTGCCCTTCTCCTTCCTCTTTGTCTAGGCCGAGGCTATGGCGGGCTACTAGGGCCTTGCCCTGATGTGCAAAAGACAACGCAAAGCAGCTATGGCCACTTCCACTCAGGCCACCATGCCTGACTCTGTGTCGAAGCTTCTTGATGCAGCTCTGCCGCAACAGGGGCCTTTTGGATGCAGCGCCCACCAAGGTGATGAAGATGGTGTCCACCAAAGCCAGGTAAGTATCCCTGGCGCTCCCCTCTCCTAGTTACTTCTTCCTTCTCCTCCTACCCAAGCTCCTTCACCATAGCCAAGGTGGAGAGATGGGTGGTCCTCTTCTCCCCAGCGCTAGACTCAGCAGCGCTCCAACCAGCGCGCCAGCAGCGTGACGTCCAAACTTGCACGCAGAAAATGAGGAAGCAAGCAAATGAGCAAGCGAGGCAGCAGCCTCCTTGGGCGGCGACAGCCAGCCCATGTGGCCTCCAAGCAACTGGTACCTCCTCCCTGTTGGAGGGAATATCATTGCAGGCTCTGATATCATCCGCACAGGCCCTAGACTCAGACTAATTGAACTGGTATCCACCTAGACCTAGCCTACAACCACTGGGCCTCTAAAAATGCCAACTTTTGTCTTCTTCTCCCCGGCCTCCAGTCTCCGACACATCTACCGCTACTTTGGGTGGTACCGGCCTACCTGCTACTCAAGCGTTTTCCACCGTTGCTCTAAGTGCCGCGGGCCTGCTCCCGTTACTTGATTGTTTTCCCCACTGCAACCCTCAAAGTCACAGCCACACGTATGTACCGTCCCTGGAGCGCCCCTTCCAAACAAACATGTGCCCGTGCGGGTCACACACACACACTCAAGCCGACAAGCACTCAGACAGGCACGCAGACCAGCAAGCACGCGCACACACCCACAGAATTAGGAAACTCAGCGGAAAGCGGGAAGTGAATCTCAGCAAGGCTTTCATTCTAGTGGCAAAACTCAGAATGCAGCTGTATTCTCAGTCCGTGTTTGGGCAGGTCCTTACATCTATAACTTTCTTTGACGCCTCTTCTATCCTACTCCATGTGACCGCAACGTATGACTGACAACGATGCATAACTTTCTTCAATGCCTCAATTTTCAGACAACTTGTCAGGCCATTTATAACGAAACCCGAAGGTCATTTAAACCAAACTTGCCGCCAATCCATAGACTGGAGATCACACGAACTACTTACAAAAAACAAAGTGAAAAATAAATAAATTAAAAACCTATAAAACAGCAAGGCAAAAGTGTGTTTTCATGCAAAATTCACTCTTTTCAGTTTTCAACTTTTCAGGATTTTCAGGATCTTTCAGGGGTAGCCAAAACACTGAAAACACTCAACTCCAAGACCCCAACAAACACCAAACTTGGCACACACAGACCTTGACAAAAAAAAAAAACAGCGCAAAAANAAAAAAAAAAAAAAAAAAAAAAACAGGAAGAAGTTCAAAAAACTTGAAAAAAGTTGATCTCCTGTTAACTGGGGCGGAAAAGTGGGGGTCCCTGTTAACCGCACTTACGTATGCAGAATCTGCAGATGCATAGACCCCTTCCCGATTACTGATGAGATTGTCAGTGCTTTCCTATTACTACCGGTAGGTCCACTTTTCAGGGGTGATGGGGTTAACTGGGGCTGAAAACTGGGGGTCCCTGTTAACCGCGCTTATGTGTGCGGAATCTGCAGATGCAAAGACCCCTTCCCCATTACTGATGAGATTGTCAGTGCTTTCCTATTACTACAGGTAGGTCCCTTTCGGGCTAGGCAGGTACTATGGGTCCTCTGACTTCCAATAGGTACATCAAATAAACCAGCTGGATCTCGCCGGTATCACCTATATAGGCTTTAGCATTGTAAGTTGTTGTTTAGTCACCTGTCCCCCAATAAATATCAACAGATGATGGGTAATCAACAACCGTATGTACGGCCAGTATCCGCCGATTGGGACCTTAGCAATTAGTTTCAATGGCAGGCAGGAAGTATAACCAACAGTGTACGTACGTACGTTCGCGCGCTTCCCCACGTACAGTATAATATAAAAAAATATGGGTTAACTGTAGGACGCTTTGATCCGAAAGCGACTCCAATTGGCCAGAACAGAGGCTCATCAACTCTGTAAACGTCAGCGGGCTCGCACTGTACTCTTGGGCAATCTTATTTGCGAACACCAGCCCCTAAAAGAATGATCTCTTAAACCGTTAGTACATGGCCCCAGCCTTGTCGAAAATTGTTCATCACCTGCTCCGAAAAAGGTGGGGCTGTATCACGCCGTCGATAGAAAACATCGGCGGCTGGCATCGCGTTTCCACCTCTGAAAGACACCCGCGACCGATGTATGGCGTGTACTGGTGGCTTAAGGGACCAGCACATCGGAGCATTTTTTTTTTGCCCTAGCAGCGCCGCACTGCATGCCAAGCTTTGGCTGAACCACCATCTGCATACTTTTTTTTTTTTTTTTTTTTTTTTTGGTTGGTGTCATCAGCCATTGTGTCCCAGCAGCAGCCCCAAGGCCCCCAAATTTTCCGAATTGGCTCGATTTCGATTCTCAAAAGTTTTGATTGGGCGATGCGCTGCCTGCCAGTCTAACCCACCAGTAGTACTTGGAGGTGCCTCCTTTTGCCATAGTATAGCTTTCCACCTGCAGGTCCTGTGCACCGAAAAGAAGCGTGGACCAGTGCAAGCGTCACTTTTTTGGCTGGAGCCACCAGCCATTTGTCCAGCAGGCCGAGCCCTAAAAGTTGCGGTGCATGCATCGCCACCTCGGACGAAAGCTGGCTGGGAAAACTACTGGTGGATGGATCTTCCATAATTATTGTTGAAGTCAACTCACCAAAGAACGATGGGCTTCGATGGCCAGAAGTTAATATAAGTTTCTTCTGCTTCTTCTCATCTTCTTCGAGGTTCTTCGAAGTTTGAAAGAGGAATGAAGCGAGACATTCATGCGGGTAAGTGACAAAAACTGTCACACATGAGGCAAGTTCTGAAAACCGAAACAAGTGTGCCCCCACTGCCACCGCACAGCGCCCGTGCGCGCCCTGGCCAGCAGCGCTAGCGCAGCTGCTCGTGTGACACTGTTGTGACAGTGCAGCAGTGTGGCCGCGTTGCCTGCACAGGCCAGAATGTCGCCTTCTGCCCAGGCTCACTTTCCTTTTATGGAAAGTAAGCTTCTGCCTTGCGAGCTCTGGTGGCCCTGGCTGGACGTGCTTCCAGTAGCTTCCAGTCGGGCCCGGGTGTCTGTGCCTAGGCCCCAGTTTCTGTTATGGGCCTGCGCCCTTTACAGTTGGGCACATCCAGTTAGCTTGCGAGGCTACAAGTGCTTGCCGCGATCTCATTGGCTCATGGCAGGTGTGTGACGACAGTGCACTGCATCCGCATAGGTCCACGGCCGCTGAGTGATGTGTCGGCCTCTCACTGCCTGTGCCCAGGGCGCAACCGCCTCAGCCCTGGGCTATACCTGCTTCCGGACGAAGCCAGGGAAAGGCTCACGCTGCTTTGTAATCAACTGGCGGAGTCTGGCGCGCTGCAACTGTCCGATATCCCACATACAAAAAATGGCAAAAACAGGCCTCACGCAGTTATGCTTCAATCCTTGCACAAGCCACAATTTTAGGAAATGTACGGGTCACTACAGGAGCCCCCAAATTCATCCGATTAGAAACGTTTCTATCTACTCTATTTTTTTTTCCACAGCCGATAGCTGAACCAAGTACTGGTGGTTTAATACTAATACTAGTCTAATAGAGTGTATATGAACCGTCAACAATGACACTCCAGGGCCCGTATTGCTCGACGTTTTGCTTGGATTGTTTACCTAATTGGGAAAACAAAAGTGTTGCTGTTTTGGGAACCGGTTGCTCAATGACCGAAAAAGGTTTTAAGCAAGGAAAGTGGACACGGTCCCTTCAGGTGGTGCAAATGTAGAGGCAACAATAAATGGTGTATGAGAAAAAAAAAGCCAACCGCCGGCCGTGGGGCTCGAACCCACGACCACAAGGTTTCGCATTTTTGTGGCTAAGAGCCTTGCGCTCTACCAACTGAGCTAGGCCGGCGGATGGTGTTCTTTGCACCAAACGCAAACTTTAATATGGATCATTGCTGAAGCACTGTCACTATGCTGAAAGAGTGCAAAGCATAAGCCCGCAACAGTGTAAGGGGCTCGCCACACCACTGTCGAAAACACGATTTTCGATAGTTTCTCTTGTTGGCCACACAGGCTGTCAAAATTGGAGACGGGAAGAACAAATTCGCCGCAGCTTGTCAGAGAATGCTTCTCGACACCTCACCTCCTGTCGAAAGTTGTTGAATCCCCACCCAGCCTCTTGCTACTCCGATGCTTTCGACAGCCCTCGGCTGCGCCATCGACTTCTCTTCGAAATTTGGTGAGCGGGCGTGAGGTTGGGATGGACTAATAATGCTTGTCGTACCCTTAGGCGCGTTCGTCTTTTTCCATCTTGCATTCACAAGTGCGTCCATTTTTCTACATTGCTGTGTGGCTAAAGGGGGGCAAACTGTCGAAGGGAGGCTGTCAAATTTATTCTGACAGCCGTCACAGTTTTTTCCTTTCGACAGTGGTGTGGCGAGCCCCTAACTTTACCGGGGAGCTTTGTTTGACGATATAAATATAATTTAATATATGTTTAATGATATATGTAAAGACCCGCCTCATTTGGTGTCCTCTTCTCCCTCTCTGCCTACGGTTTACCGGGCAGCTCTGTTTGAGGATATATATATATAAAGAACAGTTTCAGTGTGCTCTTCATGTTTGTCTTTTCCGGTCTGTTTGTCTTTTTGTTTCCCAAAGTGTGCTTATGTGACAGTATATATATATTGCCGGGCAGTCGTTGATGCTTAACCGCAGTCGGGGTTAAGGTGGATTATCACTCACAGTGTAATCAGTTAGGGAATTCTGTAGACTGTTGAGGGTTCAGCCTCCTGATGAGTCGATGAAACTCCGACGAAACAGTTTGTCACAGCCCCATGTTTCTTGTCCTTTTCTCCTTTCTGCCTACGGTTTACCGTCAGCAGCTCTGTTTGACGATGTATATATGTTATATACATATAAGTTATGATATAACGATACCAAGGTTAGTACTCCTTCCCTTCATATTCCTTATTTGTATATTATATATATATATAGCCCCTCGTTTGTTGTCTTCTTCTCTCTCTCTGCGTACGGTTTACCGGGCAGTTCTGTTTGTGACGATATATAGTATATATATATATATTTTAAGAACACAAAGGGAACTGGTACGTTCTACTCTGAGGGCATGCTCACACTGGGACCTATAATCCCAAATTCCCCCCCAAAAGGGTAGAGGACCGGTCACACAGATTTGCCAAAAGTCCTAAACATATCATTCGTGTGCCCATTTGTCTGCGGTCTTCTTCTTCTTCATCATCATCTTCTTCTTATTATTCTTATTCTTATTCTTATTCTTATTCTTGTCGCTCTTCCTCTTCCTCTTCGTCCTCTCCTCCTCCTTCGCTTCTTCTTCTTCTTCTTCTTCCTCCTCCTCTTCTTCTTCCTCCTTTTCTTCTTCTGCTTCTTCTTCTTCTTCCTCTTATCCTCCTCCTCCTCCTCCTCTTCTTCTTCTTCTTCTTCTTCTTCTTCTTCTTCTTCTTCTTCTTCTTCGTGGTCCTCTAGTGCAGCGCAGCACAGCCCG